CGATACTCCGCTTCAGCAGAGGAACGAGCTATTGTAACTTGTTTCTTGCTTTTCCAGGACACAAGTGACTTTCCAAGGAAGATACAATAACCTGTCACTGATCGACGGGTAATGGGGCAACGTGCCCAATCTGCATCACAGTAACCGATTAAATGTAATTCACTTTGGGAAGAGAACATTAAGCCTTGTCCGGGTGCTTCTTTCAGATATTGGAGAAGGCGATGTGCTGCCTTAAGATGGTGAAGTTTGGGTTCTTGCATGAACTGACTGAGATTATTTACTGCATACGTAACGTCTGGCCTTGTAATGGTGAGATAGATCAGTTTACCAACCAAACGTCGATATCGAGTCGGGTCCTTGAGAGCATCACTACCTGTTGTTGTCAACACTAAATCAGGTTCCATGGGTACCTTGGCAGGTCTTACTCCAAGCAAACCAGCTTCCTCCAATATATCCAAGGTATATTTACGTTGGCAAATGGAGATCCCAGCCTTGGACCGTGCAACTTCGACACCAAGAAAATATTTTAATGGTCCGAGATCTTTAATTCGGAAACAACCACTAAGAAACTTCTTGAGTCGACTAATGGCTTCCTCATCATTTCCTGCAATGATCATGTCATCAACGTAGAGTAATACCACAGTAATAGATTGTCCACAGACCTGAGTGAATAACGAGTAATCCGTACGGGACTGTTGGAAGCCAATTTCTTGAATGGCAGATGAAAAACGTTGGAACCAGCTGCGAGAAGCTTGCTTGAGTCCATATAACGATTTGTGGAGTCGACAAACCATGGTCTCCCCCTGTCGACGATATCCAGGAGGCGGTATCATATAGACTTCTTCATGCAATGCACCGTGAAGGAAAGCATTTTGGACATCCATTTGATGAAGAGACCAGCTGCGAACAGCAGCAACAGTCAAGAGACAGCGGACAGTAATGAGTTTAGCAACTGGAGCAAACGTCTCTTTGTAATCAATCCCTTCGCGCTGCGTGAACCCTTTGGCGACAAGGCGGGCCTTGTAGCGTTCGATGGTACCATCGGAATGGTACTTGATTTTGAAGACCCATTTACAGCCAATGGGTCGTTGGTGAGGAGGGAGGGGAACCATAGTCCAGGTGTGATTGGCTTCAGGGCTTCAATCTCAGAGTTCATGGCTGCAAGCCAGTGAGGGTCATGACGGGCCTGCTCATAAGAGGCTGGTTCAACCAAGTGAGAGATGTTGTGGACAAAAGAGCAGTGAGCAGGAGAGAGATGAGAGTAAGAAACATACCATTGAAGGGGATATCGGGTGTCGGACATGGTGGAAGAGATGACGCTGCGCTGAAGCAAAGCAGCATGATGTGTCTGGTAGTCACGAAGATGGGCAGGTGGGTGTTTAATGCGGTCGGAGCGGCGAAGAGAATGAGGTTGCGAATGTGAGGGAGCAGATGCTGGCGAGGGAGGGATGTCTGGCGAGGGAGGGATGTCTGGGGGTGAAGGAGTGATATCGGCAGTGGGAAGGAGGTCAGGAGTTGGAAGGTGTTGAGTTGAGAGGAGTGCAGGAGTGGGATCGTCATGAGGGATAGGTAAGACAGGGAAGTCGAGGTCTTTTTCTGGTGGTGAGGTAGCAAGGGGGAAAATATGCTCATGAAAGATGACATCACGAGAAGAAAAAACGCGTTTGCTATCAAGGTCATAAACACGGTAGCCCTTTTGGCCAAGGGGATAACCCAGGAAGAGGCAGCGACGAGCACGAGCATCAAATTTGTGGGAGGGGGTAAGGTTGGTGGCATAGCATAAACACCCAAAAACCTGGAGATGAGAGTATGTAGGTAGTGTCCCATGCAAGAGTTCATAGGGAGATTTGGGGGAAAGTAAGGGTGCTGGAAGGCGATTGATAAGGTAACATGCAGTTTGTATACTCCCCCCCCAGAATTTTAAGGGTAGGTTAGCTTGAAATCGTAAGGCACGGGCAACGTTCAAAAGATGGCGATGTTTGCGTTCAACTACCCCGTTTTGTTGAGGGGTGTGTGCACAGGTGTGTTGAAAAAGGGTGCCATGAGTGTCTAAAAACGAACGCATAGATACAAATTCTCCCCCATTGTCTGCACGAAGGGTTTTAATGTCACGATGAAATTGGGTTTTGACCCAAGAAAAGAACGAGTGCAACAAGGTTTGTGTATCTGATTTAAATCGCATAAGATGAACCCATGTGAAACGGGTAAAGTCATCTACAATGGTGAGGAAGTAACGTGCCCCAGAGTGTGTATGGATTTTATGTGGCCCCCAAATATCACAGTGGATCAAATCAAAAGGAGCAACTGATTTTATTGAACTGGAAACAAAAGATGAACGAGTTTGTTTTGCTAAAGGACAAACATCACAAACATGTGTAGAATCAAAGATAATTTCTGGGATAGTCTGGGATAAAGAGTGAAGGGGAGCCGAGGATGGGTGCCCAAGACGTTGATGCCAAAGTGCCGAGGTACGTTTGACATGGTGAGCGAGATGAGGGTTTTGTGTTGGAGTGAGGTAGTAAAGTCCATCAAACTGCTTGCCCAAGCCAATCATCCTCTTCGTAGCCATGTCCTGCACAACACAAAAACCCGGGTAAAATATCACAATGCACTTCAATGCCTAGGTCAACTTACTCACAGATAACAAATTCACATGATATTGTGGCACATGTAAAACTCCATCAAGAGTTATCTCGGGGGACAATTTAATGGACCCAATGGTTTCAATCGCAGCCTGTCCGCCATTTGGTAAACCAACAAAATCATGTTGGGTTTTAGTGTGATTATGGCTGAGTGATAAGTGAGAAACATGATCTGTGGCCCCGCTATCCACGATCCAATACAATGTTGGATCATAATGTGCAAAATTGCAGTTGGGTGTATAGATACCTGTTGCATGTGCAAGGGGCAGATCGGTACCATTCTTATTGCGAAGGAGAGCCATTGTGAACGTTGCATCAAATCTGTTGGAGGTTGTTGCTTTGGTAGCTGGCGACGGTAATGCTTCAACATTGTTGGAAGTTGGAGGTGCACGTCTATTTCTGGGCTGCACATTCTTCCCGTGCCATTTGTGTCCTTCAGGGAATCCAATAAGGAAAAAACAACGTTCGACTGGATGTCCTCCGTCACAGTAGCTGCATTTGAATATCTTCCGTGAATTAGGGTTGTTGGCACCATAGCCTCGTTTTGGTGCTGTCGAATGACTGGTTTGCATTGCATGAGCGATAGGTTCACGTCGATTTACCACATCCAATTGGCGTTCATGTTGAAGAACCAATCCATAGACTCGTCGTGTATCTGGAAGTGGGCTCATCATTAAGATAGAACCTCGTATGATTGAGTAACTCTCGTTCAGACCCATTAAGAACTGCATGACTTTCTCTTTTTCTTCCCTGTCTGCATGTGCCTTGGATCCCTCGCATTCACAGGCAATGGGCCCATGATATGATGCTAATTCATCCCATAGAGCTTTCAATTTTGTGTAATAATCTGAAACAGATAGCTGTTCTTGTCGGTGTTCGGCAATTTCTTGTCGAATTTGATAGATCCTGGAATCATTTCCTTGCGAGAAACGATCCTCAAGATCTCTCCATGCTGCTGATGCAGTTTTGCAGTAGAGTATACTGTGGGCAATGTTGCCCTGCACGGATTGCCAAATCCAGGACAAGACCATGTCATTGCATCTCTGCCAAATTGGATACTTGGCATCAGTGGTTGCGGGATTCTTGATTGATCCATCAATGAACCCTAGTTTGTTTTTGGCGCTGAGGGCGATTCGCATAGAACGGCTCCATTGTCCATAGTTGTGTCCATCAAGAAGTTGTGAGACTAAGACAAGACTTGGTGAGTCTGAATGATGCAGAATGAGAGGATCAGATACATGGGGTATCGTCTCAGTTGGTCTTTCGTCGCCCATGGTGGCTGTGTTTAATGAAGATGGACTGGTTGTGTTTGTGGCGGAAGTAGAATGAGCTTTCTAGAGTCACCAAGATCGGTGCTCTGATACCATATTAAACTTGGATCCAATCTATATTTTTGAATAATATGATCTGCTGCAATTGCAGCAGAGTTTTATACACAGTTTACTACACACGCATGCAAATAAACAAAACAACTGGAAGTGGCATCCTTGCTGTCTATGAAACATCAGTCAGTATACACATGCAGTGGCCTTGCTGTCCACTATGCATGTGTCCTTGTTGTTTAGAATAATCATACATCCTTAACGTGGGAACCATATTCCAATCTGTAAAGCACAGTGGAATCTGTAAAGCACAGTGCACTGCATGTGGAGCATCTTTAACAATATATTGTTTTGTTATATTTATTTTCGATGTGGGACTCTATCTCCAACAGGAAAACTGAATTGATCGCTGAAAAAAAAAGAGCATTAATTTGAAAAAGTCAAGAAAAAGAAGATCATGAAAAGTCCTTACAAATTCTTGATGCGTTGGGGTCCTCATCTTGAATCGCATCGGCAGCTTGCAAGATCGCATTGACACTGGTGATGGTAGTGGTGGTCTTCCCCAGTGACGACGGGACCGAACCCTGGCCGGAGCTTGTGGTGGTCCTCCCCAGCGACAGCGGGCCCGCACCCTGGCCGGAGCTTCTGAGCTGCTCCCTCTTCACTCGCACCAGCCGCTCCCAATTGTCGCTAACACTAGCCATCAAGGCATTGACTAGGTCCGAGTTGAATGGTCCGAATCAGTGAGAGCACCGAGAGGTTTAAATTAACGAGGGAAATTAATGTACACGACGAGGGAAGTGTGTGCGAAGAGAGACAGTGGAAATGTGAGGAAGATGGTGTCGAAATTACGTAATTGCCCTTTGAGATTTAATGTACACGAAGGAAATAAAGCGGGTAAATGGTGCCAAAACTCCTTTTCGAGCTGTGGAATCGAACCAATAGTATCGAAACACGTGTTTACACTTTACAATATCGGGTACACGTACCCGCCCAATAAAGATGAAAATACTTAAACGAAAAGTAAAAGAACATAAACACATCATTGTTTCGGACTTCGGAACACCTCTGGAGAGAGGCAGTACGAGACCGGTTCGCATCGCTCAAAGTCCAATACGCTGCGTTTCGGTCTCTGAACCCACCCGCCTCGCTGAGATTTCAGCTCAAAAACCCTAAATCGCCTCAAACCACACGCGGAGGGAACTCACCATTCCAAGTCAGTAACAATTTCTCACTCAATTGACGGAATTCTATCTCGTTTTAGTACTAAATCACATGCGATTAGATTCCAATTACACTTTAATGGATGCTAATTTTGTTTATTGCTTAATCTGTTTGTCTGAGTAGACAATTAGGGAAAATATATTCCTGTTGTAGCTGTAATTTTCATCATATTGTGGGGAATCGAACCTCGGGTGCAACGGAGAATGCTCTTAACTTACTGAGCTACGAGCCTTTCGCACATTGTTTCGAAATTTAGAATCTTTTTAGGAGTGTGGGTTTGCAACGGTTAGTTTTCTGTTAGTTTGTTATTGGGATTGAGCGGGAAAAGGGAGAGAGCATTCTTTTATGAATGCAGCAAAGGTGTTTGGTTTTAAGCCTCTGAGAAAGAAAATATAGTTATAATTAATTTTCTTCAGAGGCTTTCCCTGCTGCAAGAAAATTCCATTTTTATTATTTTTGTTGTGATCGTACAAGATCATCTTTTTTTGAGTTTTGATCGGGATCATGAACGATCACCTTCGTCAGTCCGGAGGATGCTTTTGGGTATGTTCGTTTTGTTTGGGAGCTTTAATTCTTCTATTGACATCTTTCGATTGTCTCACAAGTTTCTTTTGAAAATGTTCATGTATGTTGATTGTCGTGTTCTGGATTTATCGAACTATTGATTTCAGTAGATTTCTTGTATTGGTTATATGGGATCTGTTTGGAAGGAACCCATTTTATTCGTTCGATCTGAGTTCACTTTGCAGTGGTGTAATGTAACATATGCGGGTACTTCTTGGATGCTTTTGTATTTATGTTTAATCACAGAGGAAAATTGCTGTTCTCATATGGATAAAATTTCCCCTCTTTTTCTCATTGAATTGTATCTTGTATTGGGAAAAGTAAAAAGCTGTCGTTTGTAGATTGGAATTTTGAATCTTTTTAGTGTTAGCTTGAATTGGTCCACTATATACTCGAACGGGATGAATGATCATGTATGGAATATAAGTGGATATGTTTTTCTTGATCGAGTTTTTGTGGTGCAGTGAGCAAAGTTTGATGAACAATTTGTGTGTTACCTATATCATTGGTTCTGTAATGGCTCCCTCTTCCCTTAGGTGTTTTGGCCATGGGGATCAGGGGTTCAAATTCATTGCGGATTTGTCACTCTTCTTTCTTGAATAAATTGAGGCATTATGTAGGCACTTTCCAAATATTAGGTTGAAGATTTTATGCAAAGCCTGATATTTCTTTTGTTTTAAATTGTTTTGATTCTTCGGGAATCTAGGATATTTATGAACACGTTGATATCTTTTGAATAGGGTATGTCAAGCTCTGAACCTGCGAGTCCAGAGATTGAGCCACAAGCCAATCCTGCCCCAAGGAGGCCTCGGATTCTACTTGCTGCTAGTGGAAGTGTAGCTGCCATAAAGTTTGGCAACCTTTGCCATAGTTTTTCAGAATGGGCAGAAGTAAAAGCAGTTGCCACAAGAGCATCTTTGCATTTCATTGATAGAGCATCACTTCCCAAGGATGTAATCCTGTACACCGACGAAGATGAATGGTCTACTTGGAACAAAATGGGTGATAGTGTGCTTCACATTGAGCTCCGCCGTTGGGCGGATATCTTGGTTATCGCCCCATTGTCAGCAAACACACTAGGCAAGGTAATATTCACAATCTGGAAGTCTTGTGAATTTATGAAGTTGTTTTTGCTACAAGATGAGATAGTTGAGAATTTGTTTTACTAGAAACTGCATGTCTTATCAGCATGTTACTCAAACTATTATCATCTGTGAAACTTTCAATTTTATTTTTTATCCCTTCTGTTTCTGTTTCGTGGGAAGAATGAGAGATGGAACTAATGTCCCGCGTTCTTCTTGTAGATTGCCGGGGGATTGTGTGACAATCTACTCACATGCATCGTACGAGCATGGGACTACAGCAAGCCTTTCTTCGTCGCACCAGCCATGAATACCTTGATGTGGAAGAACCCCTTCACAGAGCGACATATCATGTTGATTGATGAACTTGGAGTTTCGCTCATCCCACCAGTCACAAAGAGGCTGGCTTGTGGAGATTACGGGAATGGAGCAATGGCCGAACCTTCTTTGATTTATTCCACTGTAAGACTCTTTTTCGAGTCACGAGTTCAACAAGGCGGCAATAACGTTCAGCAACCAGTATAATTGTAAACCTGCCATCTTGAGATTCGACAACAGAAATTTGACTTGAGGCCCGATGACAGAATCTGGCTTTGGCATCCATAACATGGTAGAGTTGTTGTTCCGGGTTCTTTGATCTCGCATTAGGCGCATTTTGTGTTTTCGTATGTGAACCGGGCTAATTATACATCTAGAATCCGTAGTAGTCGACTTCGTTTCAGCTTTTCACTCTCTGATTTGGTTCATGATTTGGTACTACATTAGAAGAATCTATGTCTGAATGGATTTGGTTCTAGCTTGTAATTTATCTATGAATAACTTCTTTTGAAAATTACATTTTCTGCAATTGGAATCTTTTTAAGTGTGGGATTGCTTTTGGAATTCTGCCAAAATTGCCTTACGAAGAATCAAAAGCTCTTTTGACGGTGTTTGGTTTGAAAAACTTAAAAAGTGCTTTTTGGATAAGCAAGTTACTTCGCCCTAGTTTGGTACTGATGTGATTTTGAAAAAAGTGGCTATCAAAAAAAGTTGGGAGATCTTTTTTGTTTGGTAAACATTCAGTTTCAGCTTTTTTTCACAGTTTTTGGTGAAAAAAAGCCAAAAACACAAAGCTGCAAAACCCAGCTTTGAAAAACCAGTTTTTTTTCACATTTGTTTTACATAAAGTTTATCAAACATTATAATACTGTTTTTTTTTTTTCAAAAACACTTTTACAAAAAAGTTTACCAAACATTATGCTGCTTTATTTCACAGCTGCTTATTCTCACAGCACAGCAGAAGCAGTTTTTTTTTTTCAAAGCACAGCAATACCAAATTAGCTCTTCCAAGTGCATCTTCGATTTCTAATAAAAAAAACGAGTGATACCATGCCCATTCACCCATCTTATTTTCTCACCAATGTTATTATTTTATTGTCACAACTAATATGCTATACTAATTTACGATCTACAATGAGGGAAATGATTCGAGAGAAAGGGTTGACAAGGAAGACCCCAACCGCCTAGGTAACCCACTACTTACTGATCTATATATTATATTGATTTGTCATCTATTTTTTAGTTATTTTTAGAGGAAAACTTGATATAAGTCTAATTGTTTTAACCAATAGTAGGAATAGTCTAATTTATTAAAATAAGTCCAATTCCTTAAATATAATTATTTAATTATCAATAATTATCTATTCAATGATAAGATTTATTATAAAAATCAAATTTCTTCCTAATTATCTCCTTGATTATTTCTTTTTATTTTTATTTTTTATTATTTCTTGTTCTTCCTCCTGCTTTAAACTCCATTTATATATTTTATTTTTAATTTTTATAATCAACCTATATCACAGGTTAATTATTTTTATGTATCTATGTCACATCCCAGCCCGGGTGGGACCACTTCTCGGGCCCGACTCCACTACCGTAGCACGATATTGTTCGTTTTGGGTTTGCCATTCCCTCACGGTTTTGTTTTTGGGGACTCACGAGCAACTTCCCAGTGGGTCACCCATCATGGGATTGCTCTAGCCCCCTTCTCGCTTAACTTCGGAGTTCCTACAGAACCCGAAGCCAGTGAGCTCCCAAAAGGCCTCGTGCTAGGTAGGGATGAGAATATACATTTAAGGATCACTCTCCTGGGCGATGTGGGATGTCACAATCCACCCCCCTTAGACCATCTCCAATGGTGACCTAAAACCTAAAAATATTTAGCCCAGAAACAGCTTTTCTACTTCAACCCTTCTGGCTTAAAATTTTAGCCCCAGATTATCAAAGAATGAATTAAGGCTATTTTTTTTTAAATTAACTTTTAAAAAAAAAATTTATGTTGACTATCCTAAATTAATTTTATGAACATTTTAACCTAAAAATATTTAAATTCCGATAAATTTTGAAAAATCACTAAATCAATACATGAAAATCAAGATAAACCACATAAACTTAATACCAACGACATTTAATAAACCACATAAACTTAAAAAATAAAAAAGACAATTAATAAACCACATAAACTTAAAAAATAAAAAAAACAATTAATAAACTACATAAACTTAATACAATCGAAAACTCATAGACTACATAAACTTAATAATGATATTCACCATCTTGACTTGGTGATGGACTTGGGTGATAGTCTTGAGATGAATCATCATCTTGAAATATACTCCTTGTGGCATTCCTTCGTAAAATTTCCTTTTGCTTACCACGTAAGTATCTCTTCCTCTCTGGAGTGTATTTGTCGAGGTCCTCCATTATCAAATTAGTTTCGTACCTTTCTTGCTCCCTATCCCCTTGTTCCTTCATACCCAAAAGCATTTGGGCCGATTCTTCTTGCCGACGGCACTGGATTTCGTTCATTATTGCCATTTCGCTAGCAAATTGTGCACGTGTCGGATCTTGGGACTTCCCTTTTCTCTTTGCTTCCTTTTGCTTATCTCTACCCGGGGGCCTTGCAAAAGAAGAAGTTGGGGTCATTTGTTCGACACCTTCATTGTCGGCAAAATTCACACCTTCATTGACATCATTTGGGGGTGGGGTTTCATTATGAAATAATCTTCCACATTGTTGGTTCGCATCGGTTCCCCACCTCGGACAATCCTTGAGGATGTTCCAAGCATGATGCAACTTAAAAGCTTGATTTTTTGGTGTAGTTCTTGTCTTGTAAATTGCCATTGCTTTGTCACCCTATGCAACAAATACATAAAAACAATTAGTTGCAAAATACTATTATGTACATGACAACTAAAATATCAACAAATAAACTCACAATTTCTGAGGCGCCCCTTCCACTAGGCATGTCAACCATGGCTCTCTCCAAACTTCTTTTCCACAAAGTGCATGCTTTGTTGATAATTTTCCACCGATCATAAACACCACCAACTTCACTTCGACCGGCGTTGGAGTTTTCATGGAACTTATCAACGATTTTACCCCATAAAACCTTTCTATTTTGATTGGTGCCGACGGCACCATCTTCACTAATCGAAATTCATGCCAAACATAAAGCAATATCTTCGTCAAAGGTCCAATTACGACCTCTAACATGCTCTTTTGCCATCTTGAAAATTCTAGAAATGAGAATAAATGATATAAAGAAAAATTAGAAGAATTGTAGGAGAAAAGTGAGTTTTGTGTGGATGTTTGAACAAATACATAGGTATTTATAGAGTTTTTGGTTGAATTTTAAGTTAAATAATTTTTTAAAATTATTCTAGCCGTTGGATTTAAATTTGGACCGTTAGATATTTTTTTTACCGTTATATTTAATTATATTTGATCTAAGCCGTTGGATTCAATAAATACATAAATATAAAACTAAAAAAAAAAAAAATTTTGAACCTGGACTGTTGGATTAATCAACGGCCCAGTTAATTGCACCGTTAGATATAAAAAGTAGCCGTTAGGCTACCTTTTGGACTGATTGCTGAGGGAACAGCCCACGTGGGGCTGTCGGCTGGAGCAGAAGTGCTGGCACGTGCAGCACGTGGGCAAGTGACGGAAGGAAAGTGGGCTTTACAGCCCGTGTTTCACTCACAACAGGTATGGCCCATAATGACTTTTGGCCTAAAAACGGGCTGGTATTTGGCCTTCTTTTAAGTTTTGGGTTTTAGGTTTTATTTAGCACATGGGTTGGAGAGGGTTTTGGGGGGGAAAAAAAGGGGAATTTTAGGTTATAAGCCATTGTTGGAGATGGTCTTAGGGGCCCGACGTTCTCGTCGGCACACACGCGACCAGGGTTAGGCTCTGATACCAAATGTCACATCCCGGCCCGGGTGGGACCACTTCCCCGGCCCGACTCTACTACCGTAACACGATATTGTCCGTTTTGGGCTTACCATTCCCTCACGGTTTTGTTTTTGGGAACTCACGAGCAACTTCCCAATGGGTCACCCATCATGGGATTGCTCTAGCCCCCTTCTCGCTTAACTTCGGAGTTCCTACGGAACCCGAAACCAGTGAGCTCCCAAAAGGCATCGTGCTAGGTAGGGATGAGAATATACATTTAAGGATCACTCTCCTGGACGATGTGGGATGTCACAATCTATATGATAGATTATTTTTTATAATCAATGTGTCACAAATTAATGTGTCTTGCATGTAGGTATATTATGATTTTTCCTACCTTTTAGTTAACCGAAGTGTTATTTGCTGACTGGATTTGAAGGCTTTGTGCTTTGAAGTCAAATTTGACATCAATGTCAAATTTATTTTTAATTCATTTTAGGGAAAACTTGATATAAGTCCAATTTTTTAAGCCAATAGTAGGAATAGTCCAATTTATTAAAATAAGTCCAATTCCTTAAATTTAACTATTTAATTATCAATAATTATCTATTCAATGATAAATTTTATTATAAAAATCAAATTTCTTCCTAATTATCTCCTTGATTATTTCTTTATTTTTATTTTTTATTATTTCTTGTTCATCCTCCTGCTTTAAGCCCCATTTATATATTTTATTTTTAATTTTTATAATCAACCTATATCATAGGTTAATTATTTTATGTATCTATATAATAGATTCTTTTTTATAATCAACGTGTCATAAATTAATGTGTCTTGCATGTAGGTATATTATGATTTTTCTTACCTTTTAGTTAGGTTTCATATCTCGCTTACAGGTATAATATATATTCATATATTTGTTACTTGAGTTAAGGTAGAATGTTTTGTGGATAATTTATGTTAGTATATTAGTTTTTGTTGTTGTAAGATATTAATTAGATTTTTTGGAGTTGAAAAATGCATAATATTAGAAGATTTTTAATTGATTTTTAATATTTTAAAAAAAATTTAAAATGAGTATAAAAGAAATAAAAACATGTAATTGGATGACTGGACTCACTCCTAAAAACCATCTATGTAATTAGACCTAGATCTAAAAGCCCCTATTTTTAGTGGGTGAGAAAATAAAACAGGTGAGAGGACATAAACATCACGTCCTTCTAATAATAGATCTTATAGTAAAAGCGATTATGAGCATAAATAATTTAAAATGGGGTCATATGATTATGAATACAAAGACTCGTCCGAATGTGCTTTAAAAATAACTGAAAATGCTTTTAATGAAATTACTTTGAATGCTTTTTAGAAAAGACATCAAATATTTATTCAACTGCTTTTTCAGAATTCACTTAAACTTTTACTAAAAATTGGTTTTTAGTTCTTAGACAAGCATCTCAAACAAGCAATATGATCGCCTCTTTCGTACCTACATTTCTTGCGCTATAAATTCGAACATAATTTATGCAAAAGACTCACATCACGTGAGTGTCCTATAGTTCTTGTTTCGGTTGCATCCATGCATATATTTATGTATACGCACGTCATTTAACGCAAGCCATCTGAAAAGGAGGC